ATGCGAGAAAAGAATGCAATTCATTTTTTAATTCAGCCATTGGCTAACATTTTACTGTGACATTGTTAATAAGCACAAACAGCCGGATCTGATTATGTGGGAGATGGAAGACGGTCCTAGCAGAGATTTATAAAACATCTGTATTTGTATCTATCCATGGTCCAGCACTGAACTAACACTCTTCCAGGGAAAATGAGTTTTTTGTTGCCCTAGATAGTGGAAGGCATTTAATCAGCCAATCTGTTTGCAGTCTGTTCAGCACCTGTTCAACAGGCAGTCGTAGCTGAAGTGATGCCATTTCGTACTTGGCAAAGCAACCTTTCTCTCCTGGACAGTGGCCAGCAGTAGCAGAATGATGGCAGAAGGAATGTGGCACTGTGCTAGGGATTAAACAAATGAAAACTCCAGCCCTTTATTAAAATAATATTAAAGAAAGGAAACATTGTTCACTATTTATTAGATTACCTGCTGAGGAATCTATTATTCCTAAAGGATTTCCTGAGAAGAGACCTAGAATTAGAAAGTTCCTTTCTGAGAATGCATTTGCATTTTGACGCAACTTAATTCTTTAAGTATTCTTTTTTCTTTCTTTCTTTTTTTTAAACTGATCTTTATACAATACAAGTCTGACTTGGGTTGTATAAATACAGGCAAAGCAGATATGGGCAAAGCAAACAGTTCTTACTCTGTATACGATAGTAAATATAAATGAACTGGAAGAGGAATGAATTTTCACGAGAGCAGAGTATATTAAATAATATGCAGCCAGTAGTCTGGCAAATGGAAAAAATGGGGAGCTTCAAAAGAGACTATTTGAGACAAGCTAATAGTGATAAATGTTTAAAGCTGCATTACAATAAATCTGATTATTAGTCCATCTAGCTCAGTATGTGAATAATGACCGGTAGCAATAGCTCTTTGGAGTTTTTCATTAGGAGATATGAGAGATTGATCCCACAAACTTCTAGACACATGTTGTGCTAATGAACGATGACATTCCTGCGAACCAAAGTGATTATCTTTTTTTTTTTTTTAAATAAGCCTATCTTATTCTGATGGGTGTGTGCAAAAAAGAGGTTTGTGTATTGTTAAGATTCCAGCGGAGATCACAGGGAACACTTTTCAGCCATCTGGGAAATTTATGTCAGTTGAGGTTGGACATTCAGTCTTTGGAACATGTTTTATGTGTCTATATTTCCTAACAATAGTTAAAACAATCTAAAACAAACAAAATGAAAAAGAAATATTTTAAAAAAGGAGTATACATTGAAAGTAGCTGGATTCACTAGCTAAAATAAAACTTCTGATAAGTTCTACATCTCTTGTGAGAAAAATGACTTCCGCTATAAGGTAGATCCGCGCATACTGCTTCAGCTGCTCTTCTCCTATGCTTATCCTGGCTTGAATGTTTATCAAAACACTATGTGGACTGAGACATTTTCACAACAGCTTGTAAGTGATTTTGTCCAGCAAGTTAACACATCCCCTCATTGGACAATTCTCCAAGTGTGCTTTCTCACAGTTCCCTGTCTTGCAGATGTGGCTTCAGGGGCATGTGTGTGTGTGAGAGAGAGAGAAAGAGAAACAGAGACAGAGTGCACATGTGGGTATACACACACATGTAATACTTACTGTTATTAAACATTACTATCAGACCGAATCAATCCACTGCAGGAGGAAGGCCTCTTCATTAAAATGTGTAGCTTTAGCAAACAAGCAGCTTTAGCAAAATTCTTTCTCACTGCTCTGTTTCTTTCTAATACCTTTTAGAACTACTCTAATCATGAGTGCTATAGCACAATGGCTGTAACTGTTGCCTTGTAAATAGAAGCTTCCTGGTTCAAATCTAGCAGATTTTTTTCTTTCTCTGAATTTCCTTCATTTCCCTGTGCTTTATTTTTTAAAGTCTAGTTTTGCATTGTTTCATCATTTTCATCAATGTAGCAAGAGACAGGAGGCAGATCGCTCTTGGGAAAGACAGCCCTGGGGTTTGGTACTGATGCCGTGTTCTAGCCTCCTGTGCTCAAACCTGAGTTCTGTTCATCAGAGCTTCAGTGGTCCCTGCTGCTGATGAATACCAGGTTGGCTTATAGTAAGGTCGTCCTCATCCATGATCATGGATGAGAAAGCTGATCTGGCATCACTGAGACTTGGTTGATTTGGAGGGTTTTCCTCCAAGGGCCTCTTGGAAATATGGCTACCTGGGTTTTGGATGCAGCATTAGCCAAGACTTTAGTGCAAAGGTGGAAGTGTAGCTGTTGTCATCTGGGAGATCCTAGTGGCTTCCAGGGTCACTGCTCTGCAGATAACTGGATATGAGGCCTTATTTGTGAAACTGGGCTGTGAGGGTCATATGGGATTCCTGCTTGTGTACATGTCTCCTACCTGCTATGCAGCAGCTTCCCAGACTTTTCTGCTTGACTTTGTGGCTGGGCTGGCAGTGGAACTCCCCAGGTCTGCCTTTGCTTCCCCCTAAGTTGGAGGTAGTTCAGGAGTTTATGACCACCATGGCAAACATGGAGCCCAACTTACAGGGGGTGGGGGGAAGGTGTCACACACTAGATCTGCCTTTTGTCTTAGAGCAGTGGTAACATGATCTGGAGTTGGGGGATGTTATCATTAGTGTATTGCCGTGGACAGCTCATTCCCTGCTTTGGAGTTTTCCATGGCTCCCCCCCCTCCCCAATGTATGAAGGAAACCTATTTGATTAGTCCACCCCAGGCACTTGATGGACCCAGTGGGGTCCAGGGGCAACTTAGGTAGTTTCTGAAACTCTAGTGCATGGTTCGACTGAGGCCTTAGTCACTGCTTGGAATGAACAAGCAATGGTGGCTTTGGATTGGCTTGTGCCTGTGCAGATTTTCTATGCATGTGGGTCCCAGAAGGCCCCTTGGTTTACAGAGGAACTCCAGGAGATGAAGTGACATAAGAAACACCTAGAGCGCTGCTGGAGGAAGATGAAGAGCAAGTCCAACTAACACAGGTAAGAGCCAACATTAAGGACTATCTTTTGGTGATAAGGGTGGTGAAACTTACTTATTTCTCTGCCCTTATTGCATCTATGGATAGTGGCCTGGCAACCCTGTTTCAGCTGACTCAGGCCCTTCCGGGTAAGGAGAGGTTGGATGAATCATTGCCACTGTGAGAATTTTGTTGAGCATCCGTTAGATAAAGAATTAGCTTGAAGTTGGCCTCAGCTGTGCTGATCCAGCGGAGGTGATTGGGGCCCAGTCTTGCCGGTTACCTAGGCTAAGCAAGTGGACAGGGTCCTTGGGACTCTGAGTTCTACCACCTGCATGTTATATCTATGTCCATTCCATTGGTCAAGTCCTCCCAGGAATTGACATGTAGCTGGGTCCAAACAGTGATGTATGGTGTTTCACCTACCTTGAAGGAAGTGGTGGTTTTCCCCTCCTCAACTGGTCATCCATGGACCCAACACTACTGGAAAATTTATGTCCAGTCTCCAATCTTCACTTGCTGAAGTTAAGATTATTGAGAAGGTGGTAGGCTTGCAGCTCTCATGGGTTCTGGAGAAAATGGATAGCTGGACCAATTGCAGTCAGGTTTCAGGCCAGGATATAGTACCCAGATGGCATCGATCACACTTACGGATTACTTCTGCAGGCTCTGTTTTTATCCTGGCCCTTCTTGTTCTCTTGGAGTCTTTCAGTATAATCAGTCATATCCTTCTGGCTCAGCTGAGGGGATTGGAATTGAAGCACAGTTCCTTGGTGGTTCTCCTCTTTCCTTTGGGGCCAGTTCCAGTTGGTATTGGGGGGAGAGGTCTAGCTCTAGGCCCCAGGGCTCAACCTTTTTTTCTGCTCCTCTTTAACATCTACATGAAACTACTGGGCAAAGTCAACTGTCAGCATGGGGTTAAATATCACCAGTATGCTGATGATACTTAGGTATTCATCTCTGCCCAGGGCTACTCAAGGTGCTTTCCCAGTGCTTGGAGGCTATGTGGGTCTGGATGGGACTCAACCCTGAGAAGACAGTAGATGTGGGTTTTAGGGTCCCCTGACTCTAGTGATTTTACACCATTAACTCTGGATGGGGTAATACTCCCCAGGCAGAGTTAGTGTGCAATCTGGAGGTCCTCTTAGACTCATGGCTTCTGCTCAAGAAGCAAGTGGTAGCTGTAGCCAGGAAGACCTTTGTACAATTAAATCTTGTACAACAGTTACACCCGTTCCAATCTCAGGAGGCACTGCTTATGGTCACTCATACCTTAGTCACCTCCTGATTGCACTATTGCAGTGTGTTCTACATGAGCCTGCTTAGAAGAACATTTAGAGGTTTTACCTGATCTAGAACATAACAGCGTGTGCACTATTGGGCCCTTTACTGTATGCTCATGTAACATCGCTGCTGTGTGAGCTGAACTGACTCCTGGTAGGTTCCAGGTGCAATTCAAGGTGCTGGTTGTCACCTTTAAAGCCCTACATACCATGGGGCCAGGTTACTTGAGGGGAGACTGTTCGCCAGATCAGGTAGAGTGGGCATGCTCTACCTTTGGTGCCTTCTCTGTCATGATGTATGTCTTGTGGAACAGCCTTTCCCTGAGATACAGACAGCCCTTACTGTTTTGACCTTCCAGAAGGCCATGAAGACATGGCTATTCTCCCAGGCATTGGGGCCAGGATGTTAATGGAGCTCTGGCATGGGTGTGGATGTGTTTCACAGGTTGATATCGTGATTTGGTCAGAAGCCTTGACTTAGTTTTCTTTTGATTGTTGGTGAATTAGGCTTTTCTTTTTTTCTTTGTTCACCAGAGTTTGTTTGATAGATGGGCAACTAATTAGTTTAATAATAATATATTTTTATAGTCACCTGACATAGAAAGGTTTCACTCCTAGCAATCAAATAGCCCTTATGTTACTGGGTTTATTTGGGACCTGAGGGTGAAACCCTTCTACCTTGAATGACTGGGAAAAGATGAAATGGTACACTGCTGGACTTAATTTTTTTTTAAAAAGCACAGAGAACATTTGAAACTTTCAAAAAGAAAAATAATAATAATAATAAAAATTTCTGCTAGATTTTGAACTAGCAGTCTTTCATTTTCAAGGCAAGAGGTATAGCCTTTTTTGCTATTACAACACCCAGGATGAGAGTAGGTCTCAAATAGTAAACATTGACTCAGTTGAAAGGGCATTCCTATCTCTTTGAAGTTTCAAGATACTGAAGCGTGCTATCTAAAACAGACAGGAACACTCGAAGAGACATAAACTAGAAAAATGGAAGTGGAGCAGAAAAACATGCCCTGATGCCACTGAGTAGGTGATGTTCATTTCTGTCCTCCAGAAATAGTTGCTTGGTCTGTCCTGGCTACAGGACAACTGGGCAGTGTGGATAAGCCCTAGGAAGTTCTTAAAGCCATCAGAGAAAGCACTAACTTACTGTCCTGAAGCAGAGTGCCCAACAATTTAGGTGCAGCTGTAAAGAACACCTTGTCCCCATCGATCAGCCCTCCATCTCAGTTATGGCATGAAAAAGGGCTAGTCTGTGAGATATTAAGGTGCCCTTTCTACATTCTCCCTACATATAAGTGATTATTACTTTGATCCCTCATTCGTTCTGTTCTTTTCAGTCATACAAAAACAAAAGGAAGCTAAGTTTCCACACATACTATAGCTTTTTCCCCAACAAGAAATAATAATAGCATTCTCATGTGGCAGAAATCTAAGAAAATTGTATCCTATAGGCTTTGTTACTTCAAAATGTTTTACTGTCTAAAACTGAGCTTCTATAACCTGTGAACTAGGTTGAAAAATATTTTTAGAAATGATTGGTTATTTATTTATCATTTTGTCTTTGCTTGCGGTGTACAAGGAATGTAGGGAAATAACTTCTATTGATTAAATTGTTCATATATTGTGGAACATGAATTCTAGTTCAAGTACAGACTTTGGTTCTAATGCATTTTTTTTCTTTTCAAGGAACAAAGTTATTGAGTGTTGCACCATGGAAGATTGCCTCCATACATCTTCTGAAAACCTTTCCAAGCTGGTCAGTTGGGCCCACAGTCATGGTACCATCTGCAGCCTCATTCCAAATTTAAAACACCTACTTTCAGAGGGTTCCCATGGCAATCTGACAGCTATGTGGGGCTGTAGCGCAGGCCATGCCTATCACTGGCCCCTGACAGCTACCTGTAGGGCTGGCTCACAGGAAAGAGTTTGTTTCCAGGATAACAGAAGCTTCAACTCTGATAGTCCCAGCATAATAGGTATGCCTTCAGACACCCAAGCGAGTCCAGTGGAACGCTATCCAGGGAGGTCAGGAAAAGCAAAGTTGGACTGTAACAGAAACAGAGATTCCTGTGATTTCTCCTACTGTAGCGAGCCTTCTGAATTAGATGAAACAGTGGAGGAATATGAAGATGAATCTAATCTTTTTGACATGGTCTGTGAGTCCTCAGTGACAGATGAAGATAGTGATTTTGAACCTCATCATCAAAGATCTCAGATAAGTTCCCTTAAAAGGCCTGGCCCATCTTCTTCATTTCATCTGGACTCTCGCTCTCAGGTCATTGATGGAAGCAGCAATGACGTATTAGTCAAAAAAATAAAGCAAGAACTCCCTGAGGATTATTATATCGTGGCTAATGCAGAAATCACTGGCGGCATTGATGGCCCTGCATTATCCTTGACACACATGTCAAAACCTAAAGCTGGAACCTCCTGTCCTGTGGCATCTAAGCCATCTTCCCATGCATCTCCTTCCCTCAGTGCTGACTTTGATTTACAGAATGTTTCAGCCTCTTCACAAGTTACATCAAGGCCAGTGGCCCAGAAACCTCCCAAAGTAACTCTGCCTTCCTCAAGCAGAAGGCCTGGTAGCGTCCCAATGGTAAATCCTCAGGTGGCCCTTCAGGTGCCTGCCAGCACTTCCAATGCTGGCAAACCTATAAGCATTCCTTTATCAGCCTTGCAACTCCCTGGGCAAGAAGAGCTGTCAGCCTCAGAAGATCTCCTCCAGCCCGGGCCAAATCAAGTTCCCAATGATGTAGCATTATCTCCTTCTGTTAGCACAGAGCCAGAGGTTAGCTCTAGCCAGCAGCAGCCAAGCACTGCTCCCACCACAGTCACTGAGCCAGTGGCACAGACAATACCAGGTATCAATATTTGGAATGTTTCTAATTATTATTTGCTTGGTGCATTTTTAAAAATTCATGGTATTTATCCAGAAGTTAATATTTTAACTCAGTGTGTACAAGTACTAACTGGTTACTGGTAGGGGGAAATACAGTTCATGTTGAAAACTTGAGATAGTAAGGAAGCATTAACTTACCAAGAATCAGTGTGATTTGGAGGCAAGATGAGTAGTACATAGGCTAATAAGATAGCTACTAACAGGCTTATTGCCCAGACTTCAGTTGTCCAGGACAGTGACCTACCTCATCCTAATCACAGTTTCTAACACCTTATAGAAGAGAAATTACATCTAATACAGTATGCAAATGAAAGTGCATTGGACCTTCATGCATATAATTTATTTTCTAAAGGGAGAGGAATGTATTCATGGTTCCTAGAAGATGAGAGCTTCAGGTAGAATAGATGCCAGGCTCGCACTCCCTCTGATATTAATGGGCAAATATCACAGCATGGCAATCTCTCATCAGAATGGGTTTCATTAGATTTTCCAAGAAAAGGGTAGGAGTTGGGTATCTGTAGCTACTTTGTGACGAAAGTTCCTTCTTGCATTGCCAGAATTTATACTACTGGTTACTTCAGTGTCTTTCTAGTGTCCTTGGTACTGTGTCAGACTACTTAACTCAGACAAATTCAGTTCAAGCAAGGAAAATGTAAAATATGAGCATCACGGTATTTCTAGATGCAGGGTTCTGAGTGCCACCAAGCAAAGGGTTTTTTTTGAAGCTATTCCACTTTATTCTTTAAAATACATGGGAAGTGGGGAAACAAAGACAAAAGAAGCAGGGGAGGTGGGAGAATTACAAGAGAAAATATTTTTTGTCTGTAAAATCTGTCAGTTGAAGCAGGGTAGTTGCATAACAAAGCCGCATCTAGTAGCATAACATGTCTCTTGCTTGGGCTTTCTTGGCAGATGAAAATGAGAGTGTGGAAGGGAATTTTTGTCCCAGTAAAGAAGGGCAAACAGATCAATATGTTTCCTAATGTACCCTACCTTCCACAGGATAGTCTTCTACTTGAAGATGTCCTATATTTGAAAGTCTGGGTAGTTCATGTTTGATTCAATGTTAGAACCATAAGAAAGGAGAACAGCAAGAGCCATACAGTTGTTGATCACCAGTCGTGAGGTGAAAAACGAGCAAGGAAATTATTCAATGGATCATTGTCTTTCTCAATATGATACAATGGCATTTCTGTTTAAGATACAGCAGCTATTTCTGCATTTGCATCATCCAAAATATGCAAGTTATCCAAGTTAAAGTGTAATTTTGGTCTCCTTTGTGGTTGATTTAAATCTGACTAGTCTGCTCCCTTTACTTTTTAAACCTTGCATTGCCTATACTAGAGCAGCCTGTCCTGAGCAAAATACCCTTGCACAAATTTAAATTACTTTGAGGTTTGTAAGTAAATAACGAATTCCTGCTCTAATAACTAACTCAGGAGTCTTTAATTGCAAAATAGTTAGAAAAAATGTCACATGAACACTAAATCCTCTAGCAACAAATCAACCAGTAGGTTGCCATCAAACCAAAATCAATAGAAAAATCTTAATACAATTCTGAAATGATAAAAGGGGCAGGGACAGGTAATAAGATTGATCTCTTTGGGTAGGGAGTTTCACAATGAAGATGGGACTACAGACAAAGAGCTTATTGAATTTCAGAAGGCAGGTACAACTCCAGCAGACTGGTTTAAACAAATCATATCGGAGAGAAAATCACATAGGAGGAGAACTCATAGTCTGCATCTAGACCAGAGGCAAGCAGTCTGAAGATAGTAAGCAGCCCTTCCCCTGCTGTACCTCCAATGATTTTGTGCTGCTGCTGCTGCAAGATTAAGAAAATAATGGGAGACAAGCAGGAAAGTTCAAAGATCCAGTCCAAGGAAAAGACAATATACCAGTCATGGTTCATGGTCAGGCCCATCCATTTGCATGTGTTGTTGTCCCCTTTCTCATCCCCTGAGCAACTCTGGTGGCCAAAATGTTGCAGGCTGGAGGTGGATATCAAGCCTTTTCTGGTAGGAAGAAAAGAGTGGTGGCAGAAAGACAAAACAAAAGAAAGTGCTAATGAAATGGTGGCAGGGGACCGGGG